CCCCCAGCCAGTGGTCCTGCTTAATTCTCAAGCTGTTTTTGCGGCACACCCCCAGGGACCAGAGTGATAGAAGGGGATGAGCAGGGGGTGGGCAGGCTCTGAGTCCAGGCTGGGCAGCAAGACACCACCTGTTGGCTGCCCAGGCCACCCACTCCCTCTCTGTCAGATAAGAGCTGCCGGTTGGCAGTGTGGGCAAGGTGCCTGAGGAGGGGAAGCATTTCATTAAGCTTAAGTGCTTCTGCCATGGGGGGACTAGGAGGATGGGGACAAGAGGCCAATGCAGCATCTGTGGGCACCAGGCCAGGTTCCCACTGTCAGTCGGTCCTGAGGACCCAGGGGACATCCCCTAAGGACTCCTGATTCCTGCCACCTCCCCCCACCTGGCCGCCCCAACTTCTGTAGAATTCTGCTGCTCCTGGCATCAGCCCCACCTATCTGGGGCCCCTGAACTTTGTCCTTAAAGCTCTGAAGAGAATCCAGCCCTCCTCCTGGCCAGCCAGAGAGCAGGATAGAGGCATACGGAGGGCTGTGAGAGAGGGAGACAGAGGAGAGAGGGGCAATGGGGGAAGGACACAGAGAAAGGAAAGAGATGGGGGGGGGCAAGGCAGCAGTGATATGGGGGATGGGGCAGAGATGGGCCAGGCAGCAAGGAGGGCAGATAAGGAAGGGGGCATATGAAGGAAGGGGGAGACAAAGAGAGAAAGGTAACAAAGAAGGATGGGTGGGGGGTGCTTCATGCCCCGCCTAAGTCCCACCCCACAGAGGGAGCCTGGGGGGGGGAGGGAGGATAGGAGTGGTTTCCACGGTGACAGCTGGTTCTTGGTGGCCTGGCATGTGGGCTATTAATAGTGCTGTGGGGAGGCTCACACCTCCCTCTCCCCTTCCCCTCTGCTGTTGCTAGGGCTGGGGTGTGGGGAGGCTCCTACTCCCACTCCCCTGGCATGGATGCCCGGATTCATGCCAGGGGTGCCAAACACCGGGATGGTAAGGGGCCTGAGAGGCGCGGGCACACACACACACATATACTCACATGGGCATGCACAGGCAAACAGATGCAACTGTGTGCAGGCGCCGCTGGTGCCAATGTAGGCTCCCATGGGCAGCCCAAATGCCAACAACCCCGGGGTGTGTGTGCGTGTGTGTCTGGAGGCTCTGCAGCAACAAGGCCCCAGATAAGGGTCTAGGGGCAAATGCTCCCCTAGACCTCTGGGGCCCAGACGCCTCCCCTCCCCCACGTTCTAGTCTCAGGTAAGGGCTGAGCAGGCTGCCCCGCCCAACTCTGCCTGTTCCTGTGATCCTGGTGCCAGGCGAGGGAAGGCGGGAAGAAGGTCCTATTTGGCAGGTGGGAGATGGCAGAGGCGTATATACACAGACGCTGGGCACCACCGGCTTGGCAGGCTAGGGGTGGGGTGGGGGGGGCAGGGTGGGGGCGCAGCAGTGCTCCTCATTGGTGGGATTCTAAAGCAGTGGGTTCAGGGTAGTGGCCTAGGAGTCGGGTCTCCTACCCATTTCAGGGCCTGGGTGTTAGAGAATGGGGAGCACAGTGGGGGACGGTGACCGAAAGGGGAGATTGACTACTTAAACAAAGGATCCCCATTCTCCCCCCCACAAAGAAGACAGTAACAGGAAATTCCCCCCTGCAGGTCAGAGAAAGACAAACAGCAGCTTTGACTTGGGCTAGATGCCCAGTACTCACTTCAAAGACCATGATCCCACCCCACCCCCAGGCCCCACCCACCTGCTGCCTCCTCTCTCCTCCTCCTCCACCCCAGGCCAGCTCTGGGGAGGCATCTAGGGGGGCTCTGAGGGCTAGAGGTTACACACACACACCCAACCACCCACCCACCCACCATGGGTGGAAGGACCGTAGTACCTATGCGCTACCCTTCCTCATCAGCCCAAAGATCATCCTGCATTCTGCCCCAGTTTCTCAAGAACCTCAGAGGGAGATCCCAGGAGGTCTCCGGGAGCCAAACTTAGGAGTACCCCCAAGCTGGGACACACACACACACACACACACACACACACACACACACACGCCAGGTAATTGGAGCTGGGAGCTGAATGTTGGAGGCTGGGTGTCCAGGGGCCAAGGCGCCGGCAGCAGATGGCGTGGGGTCTTCCTCCCTCACCCCCCTTTTTTGAGGGCACAGAGAGGAAGGGCCAGCCAGCCCTGAGAGACTGACCAGGGGGGGCGGATAGAACAGTGGAGGGAGACCAGGAAAGCTAGGACGTTCTCCCAGGCACCCCAGGGAGACTGAGCCCCCGCCCAAGCAGAACTGGCAGAGGCAGTGAGAGGAAAAAGGGAGGAGGGAGGGGGGCTGGGGGAGGAAGGGAGAGAGGAAGAGAAGGAGGGGGAAGGGCTGGGGGTGGGGGGACAGAGAAATACAGAGAGGAAGAGATGGGAGAGGGAAAGATGGGGAAGAGAGGGTGTGTGTGTGTGTGTGTGTGAGAGAGAGAGAGAGAGAGAGCAGTGTGCACATTCGAGAGCTAGTGGAATGAATGCAGCTGAG